TTTCCTCTCCTCCTATCGCTTGTTACTTGGGAGAAGAGACCGACACCCACCTCGCTACAACCTCCTTTCAGGTAGTTGTAGAGAGCGATGAGGTCTCCCCTCAGCCTCCTTTTCTCCAGGCTAAACAACCCCAGTTCCCTCAGCCGCTCCTCAGAAGACTTGTTCTCCAGACCCCTCACCAGCCTCGTTGCCCTTCTCTGGACATGTTCCAACACCTCAACGTCCTTCTTGTAGTGAGGGGCCCAAAACTGAACACAGTATTCGAGGTGCGGCCTCACCAGGGCCAAGTACAGGGGCACGATCACTTCCCTGCTCCTGCTGGCTGCACTATTTCTGATACAGGCCAGGATGCCATTGGCCTTCTTGGCCACCTGGGCACACTGCCGGCTCATGTTCAGCCGGCTGTCAACCAGCACCCCCAGGTCCTTTTCCGACAGGCAGCTTTCCAGCCACTCTTCCCCAAGCCTGTAGCATTGCAACTGTGAAAGACAAACGCAACCTTGGGCTGAAGCAGAGCTATTTCCAGTGGCAGAAAGGAAGTGCTAGTGTAATACAAGGTACTGAGAACACTTTATATGAAATACTATATACAGCTCTACATTGCCAACATTTAAGAAAAAGGAATTCAAGTGGGAAAAGTGGCAAATAAAAAGTATTAGGATGGCTAGGAAAATAAAAGAGCAGATTGATTTGTGCTCATGAATATGCAAAAGAGCCTCCAGGGGTAAAAAATAATTATGTAAGATAAAAAGGCAATGATAATACAAGAATAAATTACTACTAATTAGAACACACTGTAGGCTCCTTCAGCCTTGGGCAATACATTGCTTGGGAACTTTGATGTCCTAAAAAAGGGTCCTCAAACTTATCCTCAACCAGTGTCGCGGTGATACTTAAAACAGTATGTTGCTTAGGAAAAAAAAAGAAGAGTTAAAACATCAGACAATCTACATATCCAATGTCCAACTGCAACCTGGTCAGCACTGTACAATGTAACAACCAGTCTCAGCTACCTCATCCCAAAGCCTCCTCATTTTTTTCATATTTCCTATGACTCCGAAGCAAGGCTGCTGCTGCTTTCCAGGATACACTTTCTTCCTGTAAATATGACCCACAAGACAAGATGATCAAGCTCTTGTTAGATGCTCCATGTCTACTTCTCTGTAGTTTTGTGGTTTGCCTGCATGGCTTTGTTTTTCAAGGTATCGTAGTTATCACCTTGATTTACTCTTAAGATCCTGACAGTAGAACTACACGGTCCAGAAATGTAGGAAAGTCCACCCTCTTACCTTCTACAAAATTAGTCCTTTCTCAGGTATATTTCCCCCCCCCCAATCAGCGCAAGCCCCATGCTTAAACTTCAGTGAGCACAGCGTTGGTGACGAAATACAGCGTTCACACAGTAAAGCGCTTTTGGCAGGAGAAGTAGCAGAGCAGGAGAGGAAAGCTGCAGACCTACATAGCAATAGCAACACAGAAGTCAGGCCAAGTGAGTACCTGGAGCTGCCACAATCTATTATCAGTACTAAAACAAGGCACATCCTCACAAGTCTTTACAGTAGATGTCAGAGAACATATTGGTGAGAACAGTGTCAGCTTATACGGCACTCTAATGTGAACTAAGCATTCAAAGGAGTAGAGGCAGCTAAAAAGAGAATCATATGAGGAAATAAATATTTCAGACCAGAAGTAATACGACCTTTATCTGATAAAGCTAGTATTAAATTTCCACTCTCTCGGCTCACGTCATATCCTTAAGGACTCAGAAGCGACCCAACCTGACTCATCAGAACATACACACACAGAGATAGCAGCAAGCAATGGCACAGCCGATTCCCTTGCTTTCTTCTTCGTTGTGGACATGTGAGCAGGCCCCACTCCTTTCCTTTAAAGCTAGGCCTGTCTGCCACCTTGAACACTGGTACGTCCCTGCACGTTTGCTGCATCATTATCTTTGTCATTCCACCTCCCCCAGCACTGTTTCACTTACGGGAAACAGGGAGGCACAATGTGCTGCAAGAACACTTGTTTCTGCTCTGTGGCACTACCACTAGCAGAACACACTAACTAGTCAATCAGATCCAGAGCGTGCAATGTCTCTTCCAACACTGGAAACCCATCTGGAGGCTGACGACTAGAGCAACAGGCATAATTTACTAATTAATGACCATCACTTATTTTTTGCTCCGAATTATCAACTTAAATACCAGTGCCATGACACAAGATCAAAGATTGTAATCACTGAATAACACTGTCAGCGTAAGTGTGCTCTAATACTTTTCTGGGAATATGGTAAGAACTACTAAATAAAATATATTTACCTATTAGCTGAAAACATCTGAATAGCAAAACATTAATAACATTTTAATTCCTTTTACAGATTATTTACAAAAAAAAGGACTTTATTCATACAAATACTATTATGTATTGTTTTTCTCATCTCAGCCTGTACCCACACACATTCCATAGTTAGTGGAGCTTTACACATGAACGTCTTACTTCTGCTTCAATTAATCTTGGCGACTTCACTGCAGAGGCAGCTAGCAAAATTACGCCAGCCAGTTGCTTACACAGTGCATTCTTACAAGAATAATTAAAATGCCAGTAATGATGCTATTTTTCTTTAACTCATTAATGCTAAAAAGCATCAGGAATTAATTCCTGCAAAGCACCATGCAAGGCATTTAATGCTTAGAATTGTATTTTGTTATTTAACAACGAGAAAAATTAAAAAAAAAAAAAAACAACATTTTAAGGTGGCTTTTACTAAACCATGAAGTGTCTTCATAGTTAGAGCCTAATGCAAAAATAGACCACACACTTCAAATACACAAGCCAGAAGGGTCATTTCCAAGTGATGCTTTTTAACCATTTTTAAGACATACTTACATATAGCGCAGCTTCTAGTGTTTTTGTCATGTAACTAAACATGCTCATGTTAATAACGTGTTAAATGTTGGCAAAAGGACATTAGTTTGCAAGGTTTTATAGCTATTTCCATGGATATGACATTACCTGTGTCAAGTTTAACAGAATATTTCAAAATAAACAAGTCACCTTTTTAGTGCATGCACTGCAAAAACTTTTTAAGCTACAAATAGCAAGTGAAAAATAATAGGCATTATTTTCACCAGTAAATGAAACTCACGGTAGACAATTATTCAATAAAATACTTTTATTTATGTACACAGTGGAAAGGTGCTGTACCATTCAACAACCGTTATACTGTACAAGAGCAGACTTGAATTTGCTTAACACTTTTAAATTCACTTTAAGTGGGAGTCTCCCTGAGGTTAAGAAAGGTGTCTTATAATTGTACATGACATCAATATTTAATCAATGTTATCAGGAAAAAGCAAAAAAACCTGAAAGATTTGGACATGAGTATTTAGTGGAAGAAGGGTCCAACAGTACGTGCTGAAAACTATTAGACAAAGACATCACCGTGGTCATGTGACTGCTGCAAGATCATGACCAGTACTGCAGGTAAGAGTAAATATTATAGAAAAATTGGTAGGTGGGAGGGGAAATGATGACAGGTTTTGGAAAAAACATAAGACAGGACACAAATGGAGGCAAACACAAACTGTGATTTCAGAATGCTGTTTGAAGACAGTAAGAACCAGATGCCTGACCAGGGTGTCTTAGATCAGATATTTTTCTTTAAAAAAAAAAAAACAAAAACCAAAAAACCACCAAACACCCCCACCCCTATCATAGCTTGTTGTTTGTTTTGGGTTGTAGGTTTGGGGTTTTTTTTAAAAAAAAAAGCTTCAGCCAGAAAGGTGACACAAACAGCACTCCTTGAATAAGCTTGTCCAACAAGAAAGCAGGATGAAGTCTCTAATAGTCACCTAGGCAAACAAAAAATTCACCCAAAAACATACTATGCAAGAGTTTTCCAAATCACGGCAGCAGCGCACCCTGTGACCTGACCCAGCCACTACTGAAGCTGACTGTGAACTTTTCTACATCGGATTGCGGAGGAGGCCTTATAAGAGAGGCCCAACAGGACTGGGATTAGTTTCACATTAACAAAATTTATAAACAAGCTACGGCTAGTCTACCTTTGGGTTGAAAAGCAGCACTTAGTTGTAAGAGTAATTAGACACCAAAACCCACACTTAGAGAGCTTTTTCAGTCATTTTCAGCGCAATGAGAGAGTCATCCACAATCATAAACCAGAAAATCCTCTTGAAGGGAGCAGCCAAAAGGCAGTGAAGGAAACACTCAAGTATAAAAAAAAAAAAGAGTCTCTGTGTAACAGAACTAGTAACTCCAACTCTAGGCCATCAAGATGAAGAAGAAAGGTTGTCTGTATTTTTATGTCCTGTTATATTTCTAGCTGGACTGTAAAATCCCCTTGCCCCTCAAAACAACAGAAATAAAATGAGTGCTGTTATTTGCTTTATTGCATAGCTCTCTTGTTCTAGCAGGTCTAGCAGTATTCAGGTTAACAGGTGCTCTTAGGTATTATTAATTATATAGTTAAGACATGCAAAAGATTTGAAATATGCCATAACAGTCTTTGCGTGAAAAAACTCACACTAAGATGCATACTAAAAAAATTGCCTTATTATGATAAAAAATACTTTTAATGAAAGATTTAAAATCCACTTAATAACATTACACAATACAAAATATTAAACTTTGAAGTCTGGTGCCACTGACATAACTATCCACCTGTCTGCTTGTACCACACCTAATCTCTTTTTTCAGTCCTAAATTCACTACTAACTCCAACCCTCCAAATTCTTTTATTTTAGCACATAGAAACTTCATCTCCTTTAGCCAGCCACTGTAAGAATTACACACTTGGCCCAAACTTATTCTCTCCTGATGCTTCTTCTGTTTTCTCTTAGGATTCTTCATAATTCTGTAGCTGGGATTTTTATAATTATTACCTTGTTTAATTGAATCCAAACCTTTAGGTTTTAAGCTGCATAGAGCACCATCATTTTGATATCATTTTGACATTTGATATCAAATGATATCATGATTTTGATATCATTTTGACTTATCCACCACCTTCCCCCCTGGAACTCCTGCAAGTGAGGTTTGGATTCTGCATGATATACATTTGGATCACATATTTGGGTTCTGTTTCTGAGGAATTCATCCCTCTGCTTTCTTCTAAAATACTTTTAACATTACTCTCCCCGACACAGCCCCTCAGGAGAGGTACGCAATTTCAAGCTTTAGAGAACGCTTTTTTTTCTATAGGATGGCATCCAGACAGGTGACACTGCCAAAACACTGCAACCTCATTCTGGCCTGCTTAGAAACAGGAAGGTAGCACAAAATTTAGATTTTCTCTATTGAATATCAGCAGGATAACAGACAGGATTGCTGTGTAAAATTACTATGACCCTCTCAGCCTAGTATTGAATGGGCAATTTCAGATATTCACCACTTCATCATTATCAAGATCAGGCTATACATTTGTGACCTCATAGTAAGAAGTTTCCTCTCCCTCATAGAGCAGCTCTTCAACTCTGCGCTCACACAAAGCTAGTTAGGAACACAGCAACCTGACCACTAGCTTCCTCCCTTCGCTCAGAACAAAATCAAAGACATTCCCACCAAAAATTAATAAAATGGGCTTGTTTACAGCAAACAGAGCTTCCCTTACACATTTAAAACAATGTGCTCAACCACAGATCAGTACACAAAGCTTCTAACACATGCCTTGACCTAAAATTCTTCACAGCTTGGGCTTGCCCAGTCTTACTACTTTGGAAAATAAATCTTTGTAGCAGTCACGTCACAATATACGACAAAGTTTCAAATGACAGGCTTTTTATCTCAGTAGTTCAGTGCACCAAAACTACTATCTTTGTGGCTCTCCTGCCACTAGGCGTCACTGTCTTCTATTGTGATCTTTATACCTTCATCTGCTGTCCAACATCTCACCCAGGAACTGTCAGACCAATACTGTTAGTGGGAGAACATCCACCACAATTTGCCAAGCCCCTATCTAAAAAGCAACCCTATTCCTTAGGTCAAGGAAAGATTTAGTGATGTGGCAGATAAAGTGCAAACGATTGTTAGCGTCACTTTGTATGTTATTCTAAGTAAAATAAAAATACTAAAAGAACAACTGAACTAAAGGAGGTGACATGGGCTTTCCTCCACAGAGGAGTCACCTCAGATTCTAAAACCCTCTATAACTAAGAGAATTTCCAAAAATGGGAGGAACCATAACAGGAGCACTAGTGGAACTAATTGCATGACCACTCATGTGGGACCTACAAAGAAAATAATTTTATCAGTCAACCAGCAATCTCTTCAAGGATGAAACAGAGCCAAACATTCTGTTGTTGCCTCTCATATTTCATTGATTTCAAGTCCAGAAAGGACCACTATGATTACCTAGCTAGACCACGTGTCTAACGAATGCCTGCATCCCCACATGAAAGTTTGTGGTGAATATGAACTCCTCCCATACTGAGGGCAACCTGGAAACTACAGTTCACTTTGACAGTGAACACTCAAACAGTTATCTTCCTCTTCCTCAAGTGCACTTAAAAGAAAAAAGAACCAAAAAACCAACCCAAACCCCAGCCATGACTGCATTCTGCCACGTGACCAATTCAGCCACTTGGAATGATTTAATGGCACACAGGAACTAGGTACCCATGCATACCTAACTTGGGTCGTAATTGATCTTAATAAATAACTTAACATAATTTCCAGTATCAGTATCTCCACCACATGAGAAATACGATTCAAGCTAAACTTGATTCAAGCTGAGCTTAATAGACAAATTAACTGTAAAGCCACTTTGAAGCATTAGGACAAAGGATACCATTAGAGAGCATGTCACTACTAAATGATGAAATACTGTCCTACCTGACAAAATCGTTGGGGTAATTCGTTACTAAGAAGTTGAAGATCTTATGTGTATGCACATATGAAACGCAAACAACGCTTTTAAATACTTCTGATGCATACAGAATATTACCAGCAAGGAATCAGTGTTAATGAGCTTCTTGAAAAAGTTTCTAGTTCATGGGCAAAGAATTACTTCGCATTGTATTCTCCCACTACCTTACTAGGAAACAGCTGTTTCAGTGTTACATGCTCTTCTTTTGATGTGTTTCACCATTTAATGTTCCATTTTCCATTGCTTTATTTTCAAAGTTCCAGTCAGTTGGGCTGAGGAGTTGCTGAGTTTTTTTGTATGTCCAGTATGGGTTAAGTATTAGCGTAACAGCAAATAATCCCGAGAATAAAACAATAAAATGAAGAAGTCCCAGATTTTCCATCACAGAATTCCAATTGAAAATGCACACCCACCACATGTGGTAAGTAAGAATCATGCGGCAGTGAAACAGGTGGATCATCACCCACTGGTTTGCCTTCCAGAAGAAGGTATTAGCACAGCCAGCCTAGAAAAACAAGAACAGAAAGTATGCAGAAGTGAGATTGTTACTTCGAGATAAGGAACTGAGGAATCTGTAGAACTAACGCAGATATCCAGCTTTCACGTACACATGCTCTCAGGCATTTTTTCCATGTAGACCTATGATATTCCACATGCATAGCATCCCAAACTCAGAATGAATCTATACCATCTCACTATCCACATGCACACAGCATCACACAGAAACCTATATGGAGAACTATAGAGATATCATCACGACAAAAGCAGGTTATCACATGGATATCATCAGCAGGTTATCATGGATATCATCAGTTAGCTTTTCAGCAAAACTGCGTTCATCTATCTAAACAAACCACACAAATATTCCACATGCATAGCATCCCAAACTCAGAATGAATCTATACCATCTCACTATCCACATGCACACAGCATCACACAGAAACCTATATGGAGAACTATAGAGATATCATCACGACAAAAGCAGGTATCATGGATATCATCAGCAGGTTATCATGGATATCATCAGTTAGCTTTTCAGCAAAACTGCGTTCATCTATCTAAACAAACCACACAAGATTACCTACGGACAAGCGAGATGCATGAAAACTGTTACAAACATAATTTGAAAATTACCACGTTCTTACCTTTAGAAGCATCCAGGAAATGCATGTTGAGGGAGTACTCATCTCCAGCAACATTCCCATCAAAGGCAGATAATGTCCAGATTTCACATTAATTACTAGACCAGCCAAGCCACCAAAAGCAAGCAAGTGATGAACTACCAAGAACACATCAAATGTTCTAAAAATAATGTTGGACATGTGAACAGCTGCATTTTCAAGCAAGAAAAATCCAGCCGCTATTAAACAGTTAAACCAACTCCACTTCTGCTGTGAATACACTTTGTCAGCATGAAAAACAGGATCTATGAGCAAAGCCCATAACCCAGCAACGCAACTCTGAAGTCCAAACACACCACGTGTGACCGCCATATTCCAAAACACCTTCTCCTTTGCATACAAGGCACGATAAGTGCTACTTATCCATGAAGACAACCAGTGAGACAGAAGAAATACTCCCAAGTAGATTAAAAAACCAGCAGCTAAAAATGTGAAACGAACTTCCCATAAGAGATAGTCCCAGTCAAAAATCGTCCCAAACACTTGATCATCGTTTGTAGGATTCATTTCTTCTTTCTTACAGAGCAAAGCCTTGCAAGGGGCTTGACACTTCTCACCCGCGCTATAGTCTCCTTTATGCGTATTCAGCCTCTGCTATTATGCAAACCAGAAACCATGAACTCTTCCATCTGGAACAAGGAGAAAAAAATTAAGTGAATTTTTAAGTCATCCATACGCGTAGCTTCTAAACCATAGAGAACGCACTTCCACTGCAGTTACGACTTTGGTCCTGTTGCCATCAGGCACAGTCATCCCAAAGACAGGTAGACAGACAGACAAAAAAACCTTAAGATTAACAATTGGCCTGCAAAATCTGTACTAGTACAAAGTAACGCACTGAAACAAAAGCTGAAGAGGGCAAAGTAGGAAGGTAAGAAAGAGGAAGAGAAAATACAAGAAGCAAACCCTGTTTTCTTACTTATGAAACTTGTATTTCAACAGCAGCGTGCAGTTATTCTCCTACTCTTATTATTCTCCGACTCCCCTGCTCTTCCCTCACGGATTTTCCACTACTTCCTACAGCTTTGTGTGCAATTCAGAACCTCAAATACAGGACCGGGACATAAAACTACAAAAACTTAATCCAATAAGTGGGACCACTTACACAGAAAAGGGCTTTCAGGATCATATCTCAAAACAAGACTTTGCAATCAGTTTCTGAATATTAAACCACTTTCCAAAAGAAAACATACTGCAAAAATGCAAGAAGAATATGGAATGCAGACAAGCAACATTAGTGTGTATTATTAACAACATTAGCATAATTAACTGAACAGCCCAGCAGTAAGTGCCTCAAGTTAGCTGAAACTTCCTGAACACACCATAGTTCAAAACCAAAGATTTGTGGGGTGGGAAAAGCCAGACAATACTGAAATATTTGAATGCCAGCTCATTTTATGAACGATTTAGGTGATAACAACATGACCACTAGACCCACTGCAGCCTGTAAATGCTCAGAACCACAATGCGTTCGGGAGTTTGATAAGAGCTAGATGAAAAAGCCGCAACGACCATCGAGTACAGAGCCCCTGGTGAGCTCCCGCCTCGCTTCACCGTGCAGCAAATGCCACGACGACAAACCAGATCCTGCAGGGACCTGCTCACCCCTGCCTCTGCTCGCAGCTGCCTCCC